ACCAACCAAATTCGTGACCCTAGCATGTCCAGAACATGAGATATCAAAACCGGAAGTTCAGCTGCAGTACCTAGGAAAGCCGCCAGGGGGCCCAAAATCTAATCATTTCTAGGTCTCATGAAGACCTACCCACCTACCAAGTTTCATTCCAATCCATCCACTGCTTCTTGAGTTATCTTGCTAAATTACACACACACACACACACAGACAAACGCTACTGAAAACATACCCTGGCGGCCCAAAATCTAATCATTTCTAGGTCTCATGAAGACCTACCCACCTACCAAGTTTCATTCCAATCCATCCACTGCTTCTTGAGTTATCTTGCTAAATTACACACACACACAGACAAACGCTACTGAAAACATAACCTTCTTGGCGAAGGTAATAAATAAAATGTTTCCATTGCATATTAGACATTTTAAGATTAACGTCCAGCAAATATAGAGTCTATTATAGACCATTTATTAGAATCAAATATACTTCCATATTTGTTAAGAAATTGATTTGTATATAGCCTCTAATTACTTTGGCACTAAACATTACAATGCAATAACATGTACAATATGCATGATAATCAAACTTTTCCACAACTTTGAATTCATATTTACGTCTGCATCGTAATTACTCTTATATTGCATACAATTCTCAGCCAGTCCTGTTTCCTTCTATGTAATACCAAATCTAAATTCTGACCAAACTAAATTCTCTACATGCATTTCATTAAAACCATTCTGAGTTACAGGATCATTTTGCTTAAAACATAATTATATTCCAGCCTCTTTTCTAGAAAAGGTATTTTGATATAGCTGGGTTAAAAGGAAAATACAATATTCCACATTTTATAAACAAAATTAAGGTACACAAAAGTGTTTCCACAAAATCATTCACACACTGTAAATAGGGTGACATAGAGCAATCAATTTCTTAGTATGCAACAACATTTAGACATATATTAGAGCATTGGTCAGTCAATAATGTTATGTACAAAACAGGTTAACAATACAAGGTCTACATGCATAGCATGCTATTTGAACATTTCATTTACAGTACCTCTGGTTGGTGTAAAATTAGTTAAAACAAATTTTAACCACTTGCAGTTTTTCAATAAGATATAGCGGGTAACATATAATTAAATTTGTTTTTCAGAGCAACTTTTTTCTACAACATAACAGCAAAATGGTCAGGACATCTATTCCTAAGAGCTACTGGCAGTTTCAGTTCAACTATATACATCAATCGGTAGTATTATTATAATGTTTTTACATCTTAATATTTGATAAATAATATATAGCAGCTGCATGTGTTAAATTGCTGTAATGCATGTCATATAGCACCAGTATCAAAAGAAGTTCCTTTAATAGCAAAAGGTTTTTCTGTGATAAAGAACTACCAGTGACTTTTTTTCAGATTTCTTAAAAGGTGCCAACTGAGAAAAGTTGTCAGTCTACTTTATAACTATATTTTACTGTCAGGAAATCAAAACAAAACAAGCTGAATTTTGTCTTCATTTTTCTACGTTATACCTAAGACATTACTCTTGTCAATGAGTATGAACCATGGAATGGATATTTTGTGGCCAATTTCTTTCTCAAGAAGCTTGACATCTACTGTTTTTCTAAGCAACAGTAGCCTCAACCAGGTCTTCCTATGGGGTTATGGATAGCAGATCCGATAGTAGAATTTGGCAAATTCACTTTAATCATATACATTTCTGTGTGAACAAATGAACTCAATGGTGGCCAAACACCCCTGGAAAATATCAACTAGCATTAGTTTAGCTGGTAGAGACTGATGCAGCAGGGCGATGTACCAAGAGCAGGCAGTTACTGTTTATCAGGCACAAATCTTTGGCAAATAATGAACATCATCCGTCCAGGTTTGTCGGGCACCTATCTCTGGGTGATGAGGGACAGCCTCCTGTACTGGCCACCGCCAATTTTCACGAGTTGCTCGTGCTTGCCCTCCTCGATTTTCCTCCCCTTGTTGATGACGACGATTTTGTCGGAGTCTTGGATGGTGGACAGTCGGTGAGCGATGACGATGCATGTCCGCCCTTGGCTGGCCCTGTCCAAAGCCTCTTGAACCACCTGAAGGAAATATATGGAAAAGAGCTTAACACATATGAAGCTGAATCGTTTAACTCAGGTACAGTCATAACTGCCCAACAAAACTACTCAGGGAACTGATGACACTGGTCTAATTATATGGACAGGTGGTCTCTGCAAACAAGATGCTCAATGCTTGCATCAATATGATCTAAGGGACCACCAAAAAGTGGTCACACTGGCCAAGTCAGGTCCTTATGTAGAGATACATGTAATCATTATGTACAAGATTGACCAAATGGCAAGAGAAGACAAGAATATCCCAAGGAGACATGGAAAAGAGCCACAATAGAAGGATAACTGGATAGAGGACTGAATAATAGTGTCAAAAACTCTTTTTACCAATTAAAAGTTACACCTGTGCAGCTCTTATTTTCTTTTAGCCTCTGAAAAATGTCAGATACATCTGTGCTTTACCTTCTCACTCTCGGTATCCAGCGCAGACGTAGCCTCGTCCAGCAGCAGGATCTTGGGTTTGCGGACGAGCGCCCGGGCGATGGCGATCCTCTGCTTCTGGCCTCCTGACAGCTGTGTACCCCTGTCTCCTACTCCTGTCTTATAACCCTGGGACAGACAGATATCAACATTCATCATCTACTCTTTCTGTGTCTACAGATAATGAAACATTCTGCAGTAACAATCAGTAAATAGCAAATTTCTTTAACCCATAGTTTAACGAGAGCTGACATTTTCAAGACCATCTGTTATAACCCTGGGAGAAACAGACAGCAACATTCATCATCTTCTCCAGTTGTAATTATTCTTAATCTTCAATTAATACAAATATGAAATAGAAGGAAGAAAAAAAATTCAACATTTGTGCCCCTGTTTCCTACTCCTGTGTTACAACCCTAGGACAGACAGACAGCAAGATTCATTATCTACTCTTTCTGTATCCACAGATAATGAAACATTCTGCAGTTTCTCAGAGAAACTAGACATTAACATTTATCATCTTCTCCAGTTGCAATCATTCTTAATCTTCAATTATTACAAATATGAAATAGAAGGAAGGAAAAAAATATTCAACATTTGTTGAGATATGTTTTGTGATATCTAGTAAACAACTACAATCTAAAGTCAAATACATGTTATGCTCTTTCAAAGAGTCTACACCCAAACAAACAGAAATGTCAAACTGCATACATTGTTTGATTTGAGATTACAAAAAGTATATATTATTTGGGAGAATTCATCCTTATATCAGGCAGATCTGAGATAATGTTACCGTGCTGGGAAAACATCACATCTACTTGAAGACTACACCTTATATAATGTCTTGTTTGGGAGAACTCCTACTTACATCAGGCAGAGCTGAGATGAAGTCGTGAGCGTTTGCTGACTTCGCTGCTGCCTCGATCTCCTCCTGGCTGACCTCGCGTGAGTTGTCGCCATACGCAATGTTTTCACCGATGGACATGTCGAAGAGGATCGGTTCCTGGGACACAATTTTTTTTTTATTTATTTATTTTTATTTGTTTATTAAAGAAATATTACATATAAATACATGTACATACAAAGAAAAAAACTGCTTAATGCGAATATCATAATACATAATGTGTGACATGTTACAAAGAATCATGTTCGTCTCGACTATTATCAATATGAAAATAATGTATTACAGAAATAAGGCTTCTTATACGATGATGCACTCTTAAAAATGGCATATTTTGCATATAATAAACATTGATTCAAGTGTCTATTTTCTTTCCTCCTTTTCAATTTTACCATACAATATATCCGTTTTCGTTAGTACAATATGTTCAGAAAAGGTGACAAACCTGGGACACGATGCCCAGCTGGGAGCGCAGCCATTTGATGTTCAGGGACCGCACATCCCGGTTGTCAATCAGCTGTGAAAGGTGTCAATCATAAATTCTTGATGTGATTACCAGGCCAGTTTTAGCAACACCAACCTAACACACAGCTAGACTATTAAGTTTATTCTGTTCAAACATGGTACTTTATTTTGTACAGTTTTTCCACAGTTGCTACCTAGAGCTTGACAACATAAGTTCTAGTGGGAGTTATACTAAAATTCCCAACCTCTTTTACCTAAATCCCTACTGAAGTAGTCTTTTGGCACCAAATTTGTATTAGTTGCAGGTAACGCGTTATATGTAGCAGGGAGTTAGGTTAATGATGAAGTTTCCTCTGTCCCATTTTGTTGTAATGCAGTACCAGTTAAGTTTTCTACTTTTTAAATAAATGAGAAGCATTTATAAGAAATAGGATGCAAGTGAAAAATAAACACAGCATTTCGAAGGACAGCAACCTACCACATTGCCATCTATGGGGTCGTAGAACCTCTCCAGTAGTGCCACACTGGTGCTCTTTCCACAGCCGCTGCTGCCGACTAACGCACACGTCTGTCCCGCCTCAATCTCTGTGTTCAGGCCATTCAGGATCCGAATGTCGGGTCGCGTCGGGTAGACGAAACGAACATCCTTGAAGGTGATGTTGCCAACCAGGTCACTCTGTGGACGAACAGAAAGAACTGATGTCAAGTTCTTCTCCATCTTTTGCTGTTTATTCATTTTTCACCGGCTGAGTATTAGAAGGTATCTATGAAATATTTTGAATGGATATGACTGCAACTGGGCATGCATGTACATGATGCTAAATGGCTGATTACAGACAGTGATCATTGGCTGCGGAAGTTCATGTCCTTGGTGCTGATTGGATCTTATACAGTAGGTTGTATTGTGATTGGCTCTTCATGTCCTTGGTGCTGATTGGCTGTTATACAGTACGTTGTATTGTACGTGATTGGCTGTTCATGTCCTTGGTGCTGATTGGCTGTTATACAGTAGGTTGTATTGTACGTGATTGGCTGTTCATGTCCTTGGTGCTGATTGGCTGTTATACAGTAGGTTGTATTGTACGTGATTGGCTGTTCATGTCCTTGGTGCTGATTGGCTGTTATACAGTAGGTTGTATTGTACGTGATTGGCTGTTCATGTCCTTGGTGCTGATTGATTCTTATACAGTAGGTTGCACTTCCATTAGCTGTTGTGGGTCATGTTATTAGTGCTGGTCAAATATCGAGTGTTGCATGAAATATTTTGACAGCCTCAACAACAACTTCAAAAATTAATGTTCCTTACATGAAAATAAAGCTTTAATCAAAGCCATTCCTGTTTTCTGTGGTGTGCTTATAACAAGCCAGTTGTCTTTCTTCAATTTGCTGTTTACCTACTTGCTGTAAAAAGGATATACTCCAGTCTGTCCCCAAATCTTCCCAAATCTGCTATTCTTTTCTGATGCCAAGCCTGTATTTAACTCACCGGTTTATCACCACCTTCATGTCCACTGTCTATCAGCGGTCTGCGATCCACAAGGTCAAATATTCTGGCGGCGGCCATCTTGGCCTTGGCGTAGTCGGGAGCGTAGGAGCTCGCTCTTCCCAGCGCAGTTCCGCTGAACACGATGGCGGAGAACACCCTGGGGTCATAGAATATTTCAAGGTCAAAGTGAGTCATAAAACCTGGAAGTTGTGATGATATAGAAAAGTAGCCTGGGTGCCATCCTCCGTAGTTTCTGCCTGCTCCCTAATGTCACTGGCTACCGCGTAGGGAGCCGGCAGAAACTACAGAGAATGGCACCCAGGCTAGTAGAAAAGATGGTAGGGAAAATAAATATACATAAAACCTTGCCTAGTGATGCACAATGCAGTGATTTGTGTTACAGACGTAAAATTTTACAGACCCAAGCGATTGCAGTAACTTTAAGTTTAATGATGGGTTAGGTTTATTTTATTACTACTGAAAATACGAAACAGAAAATACATGTATGTTCACGACGTCATGAGTTCAAAGTGAGAGGTTGGTCACTACGAAAACTGCAAATTTTTTCAACAGTTTTGAACAGAACAATTTGAGGTACAAATGTACTCCAAAAGACAGTTACTGTCTGCTGCTGTATCTTATTACCTGGATGTCTACCCTTCACCGACGTAATTTGAGGTACTGCTTACCTGAAGACTTCATAAAACTTCATGTCCTGTATGGTGATGAGCCAAGCTCCAAAGCTGAAGGCTGCTGCGTAGGCAAAGAACTGGATAGACTGGGAGAACCCGTAGGAGAAGCCAAAGATGTGAGCCTTTTTCTTCGACTCCCTACACAGAAACAAAGAAATCAAATGTCGCTTTCAAACCTCTTCAAAACTGTGTATGCATTGACAATAGCCCACATATGTACAGTCAATATTGCACAAGCTATAGAGTTGGTAAAATGCATAAGCCTCTTTCTTAGACTCCCTACACAGAAACATGGGTGGTGAAGGATAGATGGTTACATGTCAAAATGTGTAGTATTTCAGAAGAAAACTTACTTGTATGGTCCATACAGGGACTTGTTATAGTTTTCAGCAAACATAGGTTCCTTGGTCAGGGCTGCCACAGTCCGCACATTCTCAATGGCTTCTGTAGCAAGCTGAGCAGGGATGAAAAAAGGATATTAATGTCTGAAACCATCAAATTGTTTATTGACTTCAATGAAGGTAGAATTGTCCTTGGTGCTGAACACCCTCCACTACACTGTCCTTGGTACTGAACATCTTCCACTGCACTGTCATAAACAAGTAGTCCTGTCTTTGGTACTGAACACTTTTCACTACACAGTCCTTGGTGCTGAACATATTCCACTACACATTTATAAGAAGTAGACCTGCCCTTAGTACTGAACACCTTCCACTACACATTCATAAACAAGTAATGACCTGTCCTTGGTACTGAAAACCTTCCCTAAGACTTACATATTCGTAAGCAAGTAGAACTGTCCTTGGTACTGAACACTTTCCACTACACTGTCACAAGCACGTAGACCTGTCCTTGGTGCTGAACACCTTCCACTACCATGTCACAAGCAAGTAGACCTGTCCTTGGTACTGAACACCTTCTACTACACTGTCACAAGCAAGTAGACCTGTCCTTGGTGCTGAACACCTTCCACTACACTGCCCTTGGTGCTGAACACCTTCCACTACACATCCATATGCAAGTAGGCCTGTCCTTGTTATAGAACACATGCTACTACTCTGTTACAAGCAAGTAGACCTGTCCTTGGTGCTGAACACCTTCTACTACACTGCCCTTGGTGCTGAACACCTTCCACTACACATCCATATGCAAGTAGGCCTGTCCTTGACCTTGGTGCTGAACACAAAAACTAGATCACCTTGCCACACTCCTCGAGAGCCTCCTTGTCCCTGGCAGCATGACCCTGCAGGGCTCGCTGTGACATGGCGCCTGACAGGACCAGGAACGGCAGGAACCCGAGAACGACAAACGTCAGCTTCCACCCCGCAAGGAATGCGATGATGATGGAGATCCCCATCAACGATACCGACTCAACAATGGCACCAAGCTGGATACCTGTCGCCTGAAATATACAAAAATACAAGTAAGTACTGTAAATCTTAAAACTAGATAGATTTACTGAATAAAGCGACTCTTTTTACACAACCAAGTGTTTTATTTACCCAGCCAGCGATGTGAACCAGTCAGAATTGCCCTGAGGAAGGTGACAGAAATATCTCCTGAATAGTTTATTGCCTAGGTTGTGTAAAAAGAATCTCTTTATTCAGTGACTTACCATACTGATGAAAGTATTTACGGATAGACGATTTTACATTTTGTATGTTTACAGTGAACTCTTCACTGCAAATCATGACACCACGCATATGCTTTTTTTTTAATTCACCATGGAAACAATTCTACAGTACACTATACACTAGACTACTACAGAATTCTTTTGATTGTGAATTAAAAACATGTAAAAATCTTATCCTACCGCAAAATAAAACCAACAGAAAAGTCTGTGTGTGAGACAGAACTAATGCTAGCACCACTGCGTGGCCCAATGGCTATAGAAACAGAGATAGACTCTGCCCCATAAAGCGAGAAGTGTGGAAAGTGTGGAAAGTGAGGAAAATATTAAACTTTAACTAGTCTGAGGTAGAGTTAGAACTCACCCCTTGTACCATAGAGGCATCAGCTGCAAGCCTGGTAGTCAGTGCTCCTGTACTGTTCTTATGGTCATCAAACCAACCAATCTCCTACAAACAGAAAATAGCCAGAATAAAACCATGGCACATCACTAAAAAGCCAGATCTAATCTTAGCCCATGATTTTCATGTCTTATAGTTTTAGTAAGCGTAGCTTCAAAAAGATTTATGATCACTTTAGTCTAGCTTTAGAGTCACAAAGATTGTACAAATCTATTAATGAAACCCTGTCTATAATGGCCACTTGTCTACCTTGACTACTTTATTATTATTACAGTCACTGCAGTAGTTGCTATAGACAGATTTGCCTGTATAACAGATACAAGTACTGAAACATGTACAGACCTGTCTCAGCATTGTTGTGAATGCCAGCTGTCTCATCTTCTTGGTCAGGATTTCCCCAGACTTGGCAAACATATAGAACTGAAAGAATGGAAAAGAAATACACTTTGTTTGTTTGTTTTGCATGACCAGTAAACTGTCTTTAGGCATAACAATAAATAATTGCAGTTTTGTATAGTAAGTACAAGTTGCATGAGGCCAGATAGTAACAGTTGATGCACTGATGATGATGGTGATGACATCTACCAACATAGATGAACAACTTTCAAGATAAGTAAAGAAAGCTTGTACCTCTAAGATGTTGGAGAGAAGAGAGATGAATCCCAGTCCCAGGAACATCATAGCCAGGATCAGAATGGAGTCCAGAACATCACTGTTACCACCTGGTGCTGCAAAGGCCTGTGGGAATGGTAGACAAGGAGTTTGTATACATGATCCATTTGATAAATTTTAAAAGACAAAGCTGGAAAACTGTGATTACCTAATGGTTCTGAGTTTCTGTCAGTGGAGGGACAGTTTTGTTTAGACTGAAAGGAAAATGCTCAAGACATTTATATAAAGAAGTTGTGGTACTGATGTTCTCTGTATGACATATGGGATGATACTTTTGTCATCTTGCAGGTATTCTTACACAGGTGCATTCAGGACAACACGTATTGAGAGGATACAAAGAGAAATATTTTACATTTATATTTGGGTAACAAATGACAACCTTTTAATGTCATCCATACTGTTACTTGTGTTAGACAGATTTTGCAAATGAAAAATTTTGAGCCTTACAAGCAATGTATAGGACACTTTCATCCATTTAATGAATTCAATCAACCAGTCATTCACCTAATACCTACTTACATTTAGGATCTCTGAGAATAAAACAGCAAAGACAGGCTGGATGGCTCCGTTGATGAAGGCTCCAATCACACCGAACAGGATGTACGGCCACTCTGAGCGATTCATCTTAGCAATCCGACCAATGGAAGCTTCGTTTATGAATTCACCTTCCTCCTGCAATAGTAGAAAAAAAAGGAGCATTACAAGGCAGTTTGTAAAGAGGTAAAAAAGAAAAGATGGTATGAAACACTCTAGAATATGTAAGAAAACAGACTTGCAAGAATTCTTAGACTGCCAGGGAAAAAAGGGTCTTTCACTGCACGACATACTTTAACCACTTTTTCAGCACCAAGGAAAGCACCAAATTGAAAATTTTCTTGTTAGAAATAAAATTTCGTCATAAGAAACTTTATTTTGAAACCAAAGCTAGGTGTTCATGCTAGGTCCATAGTACTGAATGCAAGCATTGTGTGTAATGTTAAACATTTCTACAACACCGACAATCCTGCCAAAACTTACCACACTGTCAGTATCACTATTTGATTCCAGCTTAGAAGAGAACAAGGAATAGCAACAAAGACAGTTTTCAGTATTAACAAGCCAAGAAGAAAGTCTACATTCACAACAGTATTGCACACCTGTCATTTCAACCATCAAGCAAAGTAACATTTAGCAGGAGCGTTGCACCAAAGTACAGCTCAACCAGCCAAACAATACAGACATACATACAGAATTACAGTCTTTGTAATCGGTTTTAATAGAAAAAGATAGATAGAGTTTTTAACAAGACTTGGTCCAGTGTTTATAGGAAAAAGGAAGGACAAGTTGATTTTTTAAGTATGAAACTAACATCTGCATCAGTAATGCGCCAGGCATAGGTCAAAGTTCAGAGGTCACTACCACACAATCACAAAAAGTGTGACATAAGGTCAAAAGGCAAAGGTTATTCACATCACTCTCTGAGTCACTGCTGGAGTCGCCTGCAGCTGACGTTGCCGCTGACAACATGGACAGGGACCGCGCCCGCTCGGTCGCCATCCCCCGCATCGACCTTCGACCTGACGCAGAGCGGCGCAGGCTGCGACGAGACCGGGTCCTCGGCCTGAGGTGCTCCTCCTCTTCTGGAAACCAGTAAGAAGTAGTATCACTCACTCATCAATAATACAGTAACCAAAACATCCACAAGCTAAAAATGATCCTTAATAAAATGTACTTTACACTTCCAACATGGTAATAAGGAGCTGAAATTTTGTTACAACTTCCAACACAAGGTACAGATTGGACATTCATCATATTAGGACATTCTTAGACTTGTACCCATCTCTACCTATCTCTTCCTTTATTGGTACATGATAGGGCCCTATACATAAAGAATAGAGAGGGAGGTGAGATTCTAGTATACTTTGATGACCTGAAATCTTGCATGATAATACAAACTTTATCATAGTATTCAAGGCATGTTTGGTGAGAGCTCTGATCAGAGATTTAAACCCAAACTACATGTATGTAGTCCAGTGATCTACAATTCCTAACAGTATAGTAGATGGTGGATCTAATGAAGTTATTCTTCTCACCTTCATCAGTGTCATTGTCAACCTTCTTCATGGTTTGTGACATCACCAGGTGATAGTACACACCCTTCTTTGTCATCAGCTGATTGTGTGTGCCTGGGTTTGTCAGAAAAAGACAGTTGTTTGTCAGATAAAAAAGTCAAAGAAACAATGACTTCAGAACAATCTTTTTGTGTTCATAAAACTCAAGCATAAATGTTTTTCTCCCAATAATCCATCCTTTCTTCTTGGCTTGGCTTCCTTTCTGAAGATTTCAGGGGCCCTTCCCTCTCCTGCTGCACGCTCGCTGGTGGCTGACAAGGCTGATACGTGACAGACATACACAGCCACAGTGGCTGCAATACACAAATCTTACACACACATTTTATCCACCCCTAATACTTCCAAAACCTACAATAAACATTAAACCCAAAAGCCTTGTCTCTTCTGTCATCTCATTCTACATATCCTTGTTCCCTCCATCCACGCAAAACAGCAATGCCCCATAACTGTCTGTCATGTACCTACCCATTTCTACCACTTGTCCCTTCCTGAAGCCCATGATGACATCAGCGTTCCTAATGGTTGAGAGGCGATGAGCAATGACAATGGTGGTCCTGCCCTGGCGAGCCTGGAAGGCAACATCAACAGCTACAATTCATCTACGTCTTATGGGGACTATCACAAATTGCATCATGTGACTATTTCTTGCAGATTGTCAATTCCTCACTGATTTTGTCTTTTCTTGTCGCTAGCTTGCGGTACAAAGTAACTAACTTTTCCATATTTTAAGATTTCTCATAGGATCATTGTTAACTAAAACATAAACCAATTTCAGTCTGCCAGACATCTGGCAAATTTTTCTTTATTCCAACATTTAATCACAAGACGTGGTGATGGCACACTGAAGTTTTTTCAACCTATCTTTATGCCGCCACCATCATAGAGAACAACACAATACTTGAATTTTGACCTGAGTGAAGTGAGAACATTTGTTCTTAGAAGTAGTTCTTTTTCCTCTACCTTATCCAGGGCTTCCTGCACTGTTGCCTCACTCTCATAATACTCATTTTCACCTGAGCGAAGTGAGGAAATTTGTGTTAAGTTCTTAAAAGTACAAATGTAGTTCTTATTCCCCCTACCTTGTCCAGGGCTTCCTGCACCGTTGCCTCACTCTCGGTATCCAGAGCGGAGGTGGCCTCGTCCAACAGGAGGATCTTGGGATTGCGTACAAGCGCTCGAGCGATGGCGATCCTCTGCTTCTGTCCTCCTGACAGCTGGGCGCCGCGCTCCCCCACCAGGGTGTTGTATTTCTGGGGAAGTAAGATCAAGGATCAATTATAAAGTTACCAAAACCTAAAAATGATCCTTCATAAGATAAGCAAGTAAACCTGTCCTTGGTGCTGAACACCTTCCCCTGCACTGTCACAAGCAAGTAGACCTGTTCTTGGTACTGAAAACTTCCAACATGACAGCAAGGACTGTAAATGTTGTTTCATCTTCATACACAAGGTAGCTAGAGAATGAACCCAATTAATTTCTGCAAAAGTCTTGACTGCATTGAGTATGTGACTACCATTTACTGCATGCAGAAGACAGAATACAGTAACTTAAGTATTCCTAATAAATATGATCCTCTGTAAAATGCATTGTATTCTTTGCATCATAACAGAGTGACATTTTTTCGGAAAAAAGTAGGGAAAGGAGCCATATCCTTTTTATATAAACTTCAAGTCCGTTCTATGCAGCCTTCACTTTAACTGTGGTTTCAGCACCAGGGACAGTGCCAGATTGCAGTACTGTATCCTTCTGCTTGGAATCCTCACCTTTGGCAGTCTCTTGATGAAGTCGTGGGCATTGGCTTCCTTGGCAGATTTCTCCACCATGGACTGTTCTCTACATTACGTCACTTGAACTGTTGTTTCAGCACCAGGGACAGTGCCAGATGGCAGTACTGTATCATTCCTACCTTTGGCAGTCTCTTGATGAAGTCGTGGGCGTTGGCTTCCCTGGCAGCCTTCTTGGACATGGACTGTCTTCTATATCACCTCACTTTAACTGTGGTTTCAGCACCAGGGACAGTGCCAGATGGCAGTACTGTATCATTCCTACCTTTGTCAGTCTCTTGATGAAGTCGTGGGCGTTGGCTTCCTTGGCAGCCTTCTCGAACATGGACTGTTCTCTACATTACCTCACTTTAACTGTGGTTTCAGCACCAGGGACAGTGCCAGATGGCAGTACTGTATCATTCCTACCTTTGGCAGTCTCTTGATGAAGTTGTGGGTGTTGCCTTCCTTGGCAGCTTTCTCGATCATGAACTGTTCTCTACATTACCTCACTTTAACTGTTGTTTCAGCACCAGGGACAGTGCTAGTTTGCAGTACTGTATCATTCCTACCTTTGGCAGTCTCTTGATGAAGTCGTGGGTGTTGGCTTCCCTGGCATCTTGCTCGATTATTGACTGTTCTCTACATCACCTCACTTTAACTGTGGTTTCAGCACCAGGGATAGTGCCAGATTGCAGTACTGTATCCTTCTGCTTGGAATCCTCACCTTTGGCAGTCTCTTGATGAAGTCGTGGGCATTGGCTTCCTCGGGAGATTTCTCCATCATGGACTGTTCTCTACATCACTTCACTTTAACTGTTGTTTCAGCACCAGGGACAGTGCCAGATTTCAGTACTGTATCATTCCTACCTTTGGCAGTCTCTTGATGAAGTCGTGGGCGTTGGCTTCCCTGGCGGCTTTCTCGATCTCCTCCTGCGTGACCCCGGCCCGCCCGTAGGAGATATTCTCGGCGATGGTGGTGGCGAACAGAACCGGCTCCTGACTCACTACGCCGATGTTCTGCCGCAGCCACTGGATGTTGAGGGACCTGATGTCATGTCCGTCTAGGGTCACCTGTGAAACGAAAAGAAGAAATGGTCAGTCTAAGTTGCTTTTACTTTGCTGCTTGAAGTAAACTTGAAAACTTTTTCACTGTGGAATTGTCCCTACTTGTGATGGATAAAAATTTTGCCCAATCCATCATCTTTTACAGAAAAAAATCTGCAGGTGAAGTTATGGAAAGACCTGTCTTCAAACCAAGCTAATTCCTAACAGCAAAAAATGCCCCTCAAAATGCAGGAAATAGCATTTCAGAGAGTAAAAAAGAGAAAAAATTTCCAAATGTCCCTGGGGGAATATGCATGACCCCACTAGGATTGTTGCATGCCTTTGGTTCCGGACATGACGCTCTGTCAAACAAAATTGAGAGGATGAAAAGAGATTTCAGACTGGCTAGAACACTCTATGTAGCTACAAAGACTCACCATTCCCTTGCTGGGGTCGTAGAACCTCTGTATCAGCTGTACAGTGGTGCTCTTCCCACAACCACTGGACCCACACAGAGCTACAGTCTGGCCCTTTCTCACCTGAAGATTCAACCCATTCAAAACCTGGAAAAGAAAATACATGATTGTCATTGTTTTTCTCTTTGAAAATGTTGTTTTTTCTCTTTGAAAACAAGACAAACTTGTCAAACACAATGTTGGCACACAGTCTTTTGAAGTAAAAAGAAACAGGAAACTTTCTTTTCTGAGCTTTTTACTTGCACAACTATTTTAGAAAGTTTCAAAGTGCCACTCTATCAGTACAATTCAGTATGTAAGTGCCCTTACCTTGACATCAGGCCTGGCTGGGTAGTGGAAATGGACATTTTTGAACTCAAAGTTTCCTTCTGTGTGGTCGAGCTTCAGGCCTTCTGTGGAACTGCTGTCAATCAAAGGAACCTGTGGAAAGAGTAGTGTACCATGCTTATCTTTGATGGCTATGGGAGGAAGTTTGACAATGTATAATATCCAGTTGACACCTCTGTTGACAAGTCACACAATCTCAGCGGCTATATATAGATGCATGGCAGAATGTTATCTGCCATAAATAAATCAGACAGACACATTTTTAAATTTATTTACTTAATAATATGTTTTGAAGTTGTCACAATCATTTTGATGTCAAACAAAATCTTTACAACATTTTCCTCAGCTTATATCTGAATGGTAAATAAAACATATCAAATGTGTCACTCATGATCATGAACCTACCCTGTCAATCATCTCAAAGATGCCCTTGGCCACGCCCCTTCCTGTGTTGACTGTCTCCAGGTTTGGCATGGCTTCTCCAAACACGATGGCACTGATCAACACTCCCATGAACACCTGGGGAAGAAAAATACACATTTATTAAGTTTCTACTTGGTTTTCACTTAAAATTTATCAGTTATAGAAAAAAGTATAACATGTACTTTGGAAATTATGACATTGATATTCAATGACATTGTGTGAGTGCTGTTATGATTGTATTACTATAACTCATATACAGTATAAGTAAATCCAATGTTATATTAACAGAAAATGTACACAACAAATTTCAACTCTTGATTCCTGGCAATCTGTACTAGACACAGTATCCTTTTGAAACATACTTAAAATAATAACACGACTTTCCTCACTCCTCTCAGGTGTATTAATGGGTACTTCTGTTGTTGGTAGTAATCATAATGAAATGTTGAACTTTATTCAAACACAAAGATTAAACAGAGATCAAATTTTCAACCACCACTGTCGCCTTCATCAGGATAATGAATGACCAATCAATTCAAACCTCTGTTCTTCTTACCGTGATCAAGCCGCCGACTGTGAAGCCCTCGTTAGCGACCAGGACGGAGCCGTAGTAGAAGGCCAGCGCGTAGGAGGCAAACACGATGAGCCAGATGTACCCCAGCCCGACACCGGTGATGATGCCTTTCCTGATCCCTGCCTTCTCCGCATCACCCAAGTTTGCAAAGTACCTGGAAATAATACAAACTTAGGTTCACTGTGTGTGTGTAATGCTAAAGTAAGAAACATGAAATCCACAGCGAAGAAGAGAGGACGGCCCAGAAACAGTCAGAGAAGAGATACCGAGAAGGAAAACAGGAGAGTAGCAAACTGCTGGGAGGAACTAAGAAAGACAGCCCAGAGGCGGGTGAAGTGGAAAGCCATTGTTGGTGGCCTATAGCCTATGTTCTGGTAGGAGCAAAGGGCCAAAGTAAGTAAGTAAGTTATTTCACTGTATGAGATGGAGAGACAACCAGTAGTTCAACACCTGGCAAGAACTGTAAGACTAAGAAAAGACTGGAGTCAGTCAAGGGAGGGGTTCCTCCATACGAGTGATAACACCCTGAAATGATGATGATTTCACAACAACTGTACGAGCCACAAAGTATGACATATAACAAACCACATTAAAGTTAGCCCTCCTTTCGGCCTTCGATTCGCAACCTTCGATTGAGCCTTCGATTCGAATGGTAGGCACTATTTCGGATACGTCTCAGGCGCGGAAGCATTCTACTGTCCCACATATGCAAATGAGCACGCATACAGTATGTAAATAGACATTCCACGTACGTATGTCAAACCAAACCACAACCTTTCAGACTCTGTATTCATTTGATTAAATAATCGTCTAATTTTCAACAGCCAAATGAGTCTTTATAACCTTTAAGTGGTTAATACTATCGAATTAAATTAATTAAATCAACGCACATGGATTTATCTTCACGTCAAAGATTCAAGAATGCCGTCGAGAAGCGCACCCAACATGTTTCAATCCGACGCCTTCTTGCAAAGTATCGAAATAATTTTTAATAACGGAAAATCTTTTACAAATCTTTGAAAGGTTCAAACTATAAGATTCAACTAATAAAACTAACACACATTTTGTAGTTTTGACGCTATGACGTCATGGATTCAACCATACAGATTCGTAGGGCCAGAATCCCTGTTTATATGATGATACATGTATTCAACTACTCGTAGCTAATTAACGAAATAATTTTAAGTTTTCAAATCATTTTAAGCAATCTTTTAGAGGTCCATACCACCAACTAAAACTGATAAAACTAACGCACATTGCGCCGTTTTGACGCTATGGCGTCATGGATTCAACCATACAGATTTGTAGGGCCTGAATCCCTGTTTATATAATGATATTCAACTACTCGTACCGAATTAACGAAATAATTTTTAGTTTTCAAATCACTTTTAACAATCTTTTAGAGGTTCATACCACTAAATAAAACTAATACAACTAACGCACATTGCGTCGTTTTTGACGTCATGACGTCATAGATTAACTATACGGATTTTTCGAGAATAACAACACTAGTGGATGCATAGACATTGAACGCCATGTTGCAAAGTCAAGGAATAATTTATAAGAACCAAATGTCTTTTTAAACAGTCTCAAAAGGTCCACACCACAAGATTCGACAAATAAACAAACGCACATTGCGTCGTTTTGACGTCATGACGTCTTAGATTCAACCATACAGATTTGTAGGACAAAATTTCCTGTTTGTATGATATTCAACTACTCGTACCTAATTTACGAAATAATTTTTAGTTCTCAAATCATTTAACGATCTTTTAGTTGTTCATACCATCAAATAAACTGATAAAACTAACGCACATTGCCTCGTTTTGACGTCATGATGTCATTGATTCAACCATACGGATGTCTAGGGCCTGAATCCCTATTTATAATGATATTCAACTACTCGTAGCTAATTAACGAAATAATTTTTAGTTCTCAAATCAATTTTAACAATCTTTTAAAGGTCCATACCATCAAATAAAACTGATACAACTAACGCACATTGCGTCGTTTTGACGCTATGACGTCATGGATTCAACCATACAGATTTCTAGGGCCAGAATCCCTGTTTATATGATGATACATGTATTCAACTACTCGTACCTAATTAACGAAATAATTTTAAGTTTTCAAATCATTTTAAGCAATCTTTAAGAGGTCCATACCACCAACTAAAACTGATAAAACTAACGCACATTGCGTCGTTTTGACGCTATGACGTCATGGATTCAACCATACAGATTTGTAGGGCCTGAATCCCTGTTTATATAATGATTTTCAACTACTCGTACCGAATTAACGAAATAATTTTTAGTTTTCAAATCACTTTTAACAATCTTTTAGAGGTCCATACCACTAAATAAAACTGATAAAACTAACGCACATTGCGTCGTTTGGACGCTATGACGTCATGGATTCAACCATACAGATTTCTAGGGCCTGAATCCCTGTTTATATAATGATTGTCAACTACTCGTACCGAATCAACGAAATAATTTTTAGTTTTCAAATCACTTTTAACAATCTTTTAGAGGTCCATACCATCAAATAGAACTGATGAAACTAACGCACATTGCGTCGTTTGGACGCTATGACGTCATGGATTCAACCATACAGATTTGTAGGGCCTTAATCCCTGTATATATAATGATATTCAACTACTCGTACCGAATTAACGAAATAATTTTTGGTTCTCAAATCACTTTTAACAATATTTAAGAGGTTCATACCACTAAATAAAACTGATACAACTAACGCACATTGCGTTGTTTTGACGTCATGTCATACCGTCATGTCATGTCATGTCATGCAGAACCGCAACCGCGGTCTATTTAATTATATTTGACGCGTTGTAGCAAAGTAACGAAATAATTTTAAGTATTCAAGTGGTTTTTAACAATCTTTTAGAGGTCCATACCATCAAAGAAAACTAATAAAACTAACGCACATTGTGTCGTTTTGACGTCATGACGTTATAGATCCAACAATATAGATTTGCAGGACCGCATTCGAATTGTATTTAATAATACTAGTATATTATAATTGGTTTATTTGCTTGTATCAACATATTTACAACATATCTCGCAGCCTTGACATACAGGGCTGAATTTTGATCAAGTTGTTTATAATATAAGTTATTAATAGTAGGGAAATACAAATTGAAATCATATCGGAATCTACATATTAATATATCACTTTGGTACTGGTATTTACAATCTTACAATCGCACAAACTGTGAATCACTTAAATTTTAACATATTAGTCGTAATAAATAATTAAATAAATCATCATGGTAAATCAATTCCTGTGTCACAATAAAGTAGTGGTCAGTGGATCTTGTGGTGCTATTACATATTTGTGCTGTTTAGGAGGGATACCATGTAAGGGATTGGGCTTTTTTTGTATCTGTCAGTCCTAGTTGTGATTGTGTCTATGAGTTGAGATGTTCTCGTATGTCTGCCGCTAACCTCGCCACGGAGAGGTGGGAGCCAGTTTCTGAATTTCACAGATTTTAGTATTTAACGCCTTGTAGCAAAGTAACGATATGATGTTTAGTAATCAAATAACTTTTAACAAGTCTTAAGTTATCTACACTATCCGATTCAACAAATAAAACTAACGCACATTGCGAAGTTTCGACGTCATGACGTCATAGATCCAACAATACAGATTTGCAGGACCGCATTCGAATTGTATTTAATAATACTAGTATTTAACGCCTTGTAGCAAAGTAACGAAATTAATTTTTAGTAATCAAATAACCTTTAACAAGTCTTAAGTTATCTACACT